AAAAATTAAAAAAAAAAATTGTCGAGTGCACAAGCTATGGGTTAAGTCAGGGGGCATCTATAAAAAGCAACCACTAAAAACGGAGTTAAGAGATGTATTTACTATGACACTTGAAAACTGTATTTTACACACATGCATGAATATCAGTATCAGAGGTGCCTAAATTCCAGAAATTTGTATCTAAGAATGTTGCAGAGCTCAGGCGGCAAACTACAATGGTGTGAGGCATTTATAAAAGGAGGTAGCAGCTATTTAGCTTTGGCTAACTTGCTAGATCTTCCAATTTTCTAAGAAACCCAGGAGCCCCAACGTTTATATGAAAACTTCATCTTCCAGAGATGAATGAAACAATTACAACAAACAAACTTAAAAACATTTTGAGTTTAATAATTCATGCACACAGGTCAAACAAGGATTTTATTTTTATGACTTCTTCCTTTTAAACCATGATTTAATTTTGGAAACAACATCATTTTGTCCACATTCCCTGGTAGTTTAAATTGGTAAGTTAAAGGACATGCTAATGTTGTTAAAACAATTACACACGGGAGAGAATCTGAAGAATTCAAAACACAAAAAATCAGCCACGTGTTTATTCTGAAATATATATTTGATTTCTAGAGAGACATATGAACTGTATACTTAATTTTATTTAGGTAATATTAAAATGATAATAAACTTGTACTCACTGAAACACCTGGCCGAGAAATATACAAATGTTTGCTAAGATTTTACAATAATATTTAGTACAACTATACCTTTCCCCGTGTCTTTTATGGGCCCAAAGCTTGGAATAGGAATCTCTAACAACTTGGCAGCTTTGGATAACAACAGCACATTCATTCTTGTTATCCATCTTGCTTGTTCCAAACTCAAGGTTTCAAGTGAGGAAATAGTCATGTCCCTGGATTCAAAACAGGACCCTTGGTCTGACTGCTTTTTCTTTCAAGAGCCATTTCTTTCTGTTAACAACAGAACCTCTTGCATAAATGTTGACGTGCAATACCTCAGGTAGTTCTCCCCAAGGCTTTGTCTGGTCACAAAGACTTGATAGAAAAGTCAGATATAAACTAGATTCAAAGTAGTATGTCACAAATATAGCTAAAGGACTCCTTCTACCTTCACCCAGTCACGAAGGTGGTTATGTTACCCTGCACACATTTTTATAATTTATGCATGAACACTATATGATAGTGTCGTTCAAATGTTTATACCCCCCACTCAACATTATAGGTTTTAAACTTTATCCCTATCATTACACATATATTTTATTATATGGACAAACTGCTATCTCGTCATTTCTTCATCGAATTAGTATTCTTTCCTCACATATTTCAATAAAGTTGCCTCACTTTCTCCATAAAGGTTTGCATATTTTTTGTTAGATTTAGGTACTTTGTGTAAACGTTGTAATTCACCCCAACTCTTACCCCATGACATTCTCTATTTCCTTTCTTTGAATTATTTATTTGCACACAGTTTCTCTCCCCTAGTATAAGCAATGTCCAATGAGGATAGAATTTTAAGTCTACTTATTTATTTTGAAAGAGAGAGCACAAACAGGTGAGGGGCAGAGAGAAGGAGAGACAGAATCCAAAGCAGTCTCTTTGCCGTCTGTGCAGAGCCTGATGTGGGGCTCAAACTCATGAACCGTGAGATCATGCCTGTAGCAAAGATTAAGAGCTGGATGCTTAACAGACTGAGCCACCCACAGGCACCCCTCGTCTGTTTTGTTCACTGCTATATCCTGAGCTTTCAACACTATCAGGTACAGGGTAAACATTTAGTATCTTTGAAGAGAACGAATTTTCTGTTATTTTGAAAGGTGTCTTAAAAAATTCCATTTTGACTGCTGGCTGCTAGTAATGCAACCAATTTTTGTGTAATGTTCTTACCCCAGCAATCTTGCCGAACTTTTTTATAGTTCCTTACTTTGTAAGATCTGTTGGGTTTCTTTATAAACAACTATTTCCTAAAGAGAGTGAAATCTCCTGCCTAATCTTTGGCAAGGTTTAAAAAAAATTTTTTTTAATGTTAGTATATTTTTGAGGGAGACTGAGTGTGAGCGGGGGAAGGGCAGTGTGTGTGTGTGTGTGTGTGTGTGTGTGTGTGTCTCACACACACAGGGAATCTGAAGCAGGCTCCAGGCTCCAAGCTGTCAGCACAGAGCCTGACATGGGGCTCGAACTCACGAACTGTGAGATCATGAGCTGAGCTGAAGTCAGACGCTCAACCCACTGAGTCACCCAGGCACCCCAAAATTCTGTATTTTTTTTTAATTATAAATTTATCAAATTCTTTTTCTGCATCTATCAATTCTTTTGAAGATCATAAAATTTTTTTCTGTATCTCCTACTCCCTTTCTGCTAATGTGATCGTTTACATTGACAGATCTGTCCTATTACAAAACAGTTCTCAGAACACAGAAGAAACTCACTTGATAAAAATGAACTTACTGTCTCCAAAGCTATCATCGCCTCTCCTAGGCGGGTAGTCATCGAAGCTGTCTGTGGCAGGACGTGCCCTCCAGTCTGTATCTGTTTTGTCAGAATCCCGATTTCTATCTCGGCCAAAAGAACGATCATCCCGGTCTATAGAGATAAAATAAAAACAAGTTAGCCCACAAAAACTTTTGCCTGATTATTTGTCACATGCACAGAGCCTTCCCCCAACATACTGTATTTCTTCCTCATATCATCACAAAGTTGTCCCAACTTTGATGCCCCATCATCGTAAAGCACACTCTTCAACTTAACTGAGTGATTCACTTCCTCATGGTAAGTATTAAACCTCATGGTTTATTTAATTAACCATGAAGTTTAATGCCTATAGGTCTCATTCTGTGTACAGGCCAGGAACCTCTGAAATACATATGAATGAGGCCCCTCTTGTGCTGCTAGGCACACCTAATCTATTTATTACATATTTAACGTTCCTCTAGATCAATCAGGGTCTTTCCATCATTTTGGGGTGGGTAATTCTTTGCTGTGTCTTATGCGGCAATCCCTGGATTCTACCCGTTAGGAGTCAGTAGCACTTCCCAGTTCTGACAACTCTAGAGGTCTTCACACATTGACAAATGCCCCCTTGAGCAAAATCATCCTTAACTGGCAACTAGTGCTCCAGATTCAGGCAGGCCTACTGCTCTGCATCTCTATTAAAATTTTCTGAGAACAGGCACCTCTGCTTTGTCATCCTAGGACCAAAACAAAACAGGAAGATTTCTATCAGATTTCTTACCTTTATCTTGTGCTTGATCAGCAACGTCCACTCGAATTCTCCTGTTACCTAGAGACTGAGAGGATAGGACCACATTAACCAACCTTTTGCCCCATTATGCACAAATCCCATGAGTGACCTTGAACGTCTGGGCATAGCAGAAGCACTGGGGGAAGGAAGATAAAGGAAAAACACTGTAATCTAGCCAACATTCCAATTTGTTGGCTAAAGAATCCTTTACAAAGACTTGAAAACTGAAATAATCCCTTAGAATTAACAGATTTAAGTTGGGCTTGTATCAATGCCACATCAATTAGCCATTTTTATAAAGATATATATACTTTATAAAATGAGCCTTTTAACTATCAAAGGCAATTTATCAAGAAATAATTCCCAGGCAACTAACTAAATAAAAGGCATATTTGGGTCCAGAGCAATTATTCATTCAGACATTTATAGAGCCCCTAATATGCACCAGCAACAGTACATAAAGCATTGTCTCTATTATCTCAAGTTCTTTCACTCAATATTACCTTTGGTAAATCAGTTCCTCCAGGATACCCTCTGACTTCCCTTTCCCACATCATTATTTATTTATACACTTTGAACCCAATAAATTCTACTGCTGATTTTTCCTCATTTCCCAGTAGAATCTACAGCTGAAGAAGGATAACAGTGAATTTTAGTTACAAACACCCAGAATTATATTAAACACTACTATGACGAAATCTCTAGAAACAAAGAAACCCCTAAGTCTGGACCATGACAGCATTTTACATAATAGATAATTCAACAAACTTCAGATAACTGTATGGTATTCTTTCCCTTATCCAGATAGAACAGTTAAAAAGGAGTAATGTTAATAAAACCTAAAAATGATCTGAAAAGAAAAACTTTGGAACTAAGCTTTATATATATTTAACTTATATACCTAGATTATTATTCCTATTTGACATTTACTTCAGATTTTCATGGCTGTAACTCAATTATGACACAGGTAAAATATTTTGAGAGGTGTTGATTTCAATTGTGCCAAGTGGCAGGTTTGGACCATAGAATTATGGCACAAATGGCCCAAATCTGCACTTTGACAAACTACCTTCTCAAGAAGTGAGGGGTTTCTGGCATTAAAATGGAAAAAAGAGCCCCTTTCCTTCCCAGATATAATTTGATTTCTAGTCACTAGAAGTTAAAAAAGAGGAGGAAAAAAAAAAAAAGCAGGTCCTAGACTAGAAACTTCTGTTACTAACAGGTAACCGAATGCTTTAATATCCTGCTTGTGCTAGCTTAAGAATCACTACATGGCACCCATCACTCAAATGACTGTAATTATAATTAGATTTAATCCCCACACCCCCCTCATGTATTAACAGCTAAATCTCCTCTACTACACTGCTGGCATATCTGGATAGAAAAACATCTATGGGCAATGTTAAAAAGCAGAACTGAGTGTTCACTGTCATTTTCCTTTAAGAGACTTCTAGGAACATGTATTACAAATGACATTCCACTGAGAAATGTTTCCAAACTCTTTACAACCATAAAAAAAACATTAACTTCCCTGAAAACCAGATAATGCCTTTTAACACTAAACTGATATACATGATTTTTTCTATCTGCCTTGATCTGGTCAGATTATATTGAAAAAGCAAAGCCATGAGAGCGGAGACAAAGCTCTGAATCAACAAATGAGAGCTTCTATTAGACCTGGTGTGGTGGAGATGCCTGGGTGGCTCAGTTGGTTGAGTGTCTGACTTTCCCTCAGGTCATGCATGATCTCACTGCTCTTTAGTTCCAGCCCTGCATGGAGTCCGGCTCTGTGCTGACAGCTCAGAGCCTGGAGCCTACTTTGGATTCTGTGTCTCCCTCTCTCTCTACCCCTCCCCTGCTGGTGCTTTCTCTCTCTCTCAAAATAAATAAACATTAAACCAACAACAACAAAAGAGTTGGTGTGGTGGGTTTCTTCTATAATTTTCCACCTAAGTACCTCCCTGAATGATTGGGGCCTACAGAGTTTGCTCAAGTGAAGTATGACTTGCTAGATGTTGAATGTTAAGTGTCACACGGTGCTTTTCTGTCATAGATACTATGACAATCTTTGAAACAGCCAGTGACCCAACCAAAAATATATTGGTAAGTGTAAGACTGGTTAGCTCCCACCCTCAAACTCCCCACCTTATTTATTTTACCTCTTCGTTGAGGCTCAGGGCACTGAGCAAAGAATCCAGGTCCTCAAACTCAGCGTAACCAAAACCTTTCAACCTCTCTGGATTGCTGGGTTCACGTGGTAAACGCACTGCACTGATCTGAAGGAGTAAAGAAACAGATTTCCCAATTAAGTGTTCTCGTTCATTTGTTCCCCCATCCCTCCCAATCACTGCATATGCAATGAATTTCTCTGAAGAATTCACAAAGAAGAACCTGGTGGTTTCCAGGAGGAAAACTGGTGCAAAGGGATAGGAGAGAGACTTCACTATATGCCATCAGACCTTTTCAATTAGAACAGTACGAAATTAACCCTTAAAAAAAAAAAAATTAACATGAGTTCAGAGTAGTCCCTGTATCCTTGACTTCTGTCTCATTCTACAGGTCTAATTTTTAGTTGTTTTCTAGGTGGTCTATTTTTTAAAGACTTAGTTATCTGAGAAATGTTACTATCTTCGTATACTAACCATCCTTGGCTGAATCAAACATTGGATTATAAACTCCCACCAGCCTTACTCCCTCTATTGAATTCTGAGATGGCAAACTACTGAATTTTTACTCTTGAAATACAAGAAGAATTTACATTGACCTGGTTTTATTTTGAGGTTACCTTGTGTTTTCTAATTGTAGGTTTGCAGAATTCCTCATTTTTTTTTTTTTATTTTTAAAAAAAAATTTTTTTTTCAATGTTTATTTATTTTGGGGACAGAGAGAGACAGAGCGTGAATGGGGGAGGGGCAGAGAGAGAGGGAGACACAGAATCGGAAACAGGCTCCAGGCTCTGAGCCATCAGCCCAGAGCCCGACGCGGGGCTCGAACTCACGGAGCGCGAGATCGTGACCTGGCTGAAGTCGGACGCTTAACCGACTGCGCCACCCAGGCGCCCCTGGAATTCCTCATTTTAAAGTTTCATAGAATTTTTTTTTTCAACGTTTTTTTTTTAATTTATTTTTGGGACAGAGAGAGACAGAGCATGAACGGGGGAGGGGCAGAGAGAGAGGGAGACACAGAATGGGAAACAGGCTCCAGGCTCTGAGCCATCAGCCCAGAGCCTGACGCGGGGCTCGAACTCACGGACCGCGAGATCGTGACCTGGCTGAAGTCGGATGCTTAACCGACTGTGCCACCCAGGCGCCCCTAAAGTTTCATAGAATTTTACCTGGCACAAATTTTTTTATTATTTACAACAGGGTACGTACTCTTCATTTCCAATTTTAGAACCATTTTCAAACACCTCTATCTTCTGACCATCTTTTTGATGGCGTCCACATATTTTCTCACCCTTTAACTTTTTTCTTTAGTATTTCGCATATATTCAAGTTATTCTTCTGCATCACTGATCTGATACTTTACTCTGGCTCCTGAGATACACATTTTGTTGTAGTCTCTTTAAATTCTAGTTTAACTCAACTCCTGAATACAGCAGAACAAAATATGAAAGGGAGAAGTAACTCCAGACCAGTTCTAAAGCATTCAGTGAAAAGCTTGAATGGGTCAGAGGTTATTATTCAGCATTCTACAGAAAAGGCCAAGAAAGTAAAATCAAAAACAGGTCAGCCTTCTAGCTGTACTACGTATTTGTACAGAGAAGATGATTTGTAGGGGCAATAAAAAAACAATCACATTGTGGGGTGCTTGGATGGTTCAATTCGTAGAGTGTACAACTCTTGATCTCAGGGTTGTGAGTTCAAGCCCCACACTGGATGTAGAGATTACTTAAAAATAAACTCTTAAAAAAAAAATCACATCAGAAAAAAGTAAACATCAGGCAGCTTGGTTAGGGGCTGAAGGAGCGCTCTGACTGACCAGGCCAGAACAGCCACATTCGGCTCGCGAGTTTCTGTTTGGAGTTCGCTGTTGGTTTGGGTTTATGAGGGCCAGAGTTTGAGTTTGTGCCGAGGCCTTCTCAGCCTTTTCAGCCTCTCCCTCATGATATTTTGTTCTCTTGTCCCAAAATAAATAAACGTTGAAAAAAAAAATTAAAAAAAAAAAGAAAAAGTACCCATTGAAGTTGGTGGCCCACTGCAGAGAAGAGGATCTAGGAAGGGAGTCAAAAAACAAAGAGAATAGATCTTTTTTTTTTTTAAAGTTTATTTATTTTGAGAGAGTAAGGGCTAAAGCGAGCTTTCTCTTCAGAAAAAAAACAGGAGGAATGCAGAGAGAGTAGGGAGAGACATTAAATCTGCAAGCAGGCTTTCACGCCCCAGCACAGAGCCCACCATCAAAATGGGCCCTGAACTCATTGTAAATAAGAGATCATGACCAGCCAAAATCAATTGGGATGCTTAACAGATCGTATGGACACACACAGATGCCTCATGCAGAGAGTAGAGATCTTTAAAGGAAATGCACCTTAAAACAAACAAACAAACAAAGGTAAAACCTACCCCTCCACCAATGCAGGTGTCAAACCACAATTTGAGATCAAGAGTCGTGACAAAGTTTCTGACTGAGCTAAACAGTTGGCACCAAGTCCTGGGTGTATTTTATTTATTTTTAAAAAAATTTTTTTTTCAACGTTTATTTATTTTTGGGACAGAGAGAGACAGAGCATGAACGAGAGGGCAGAGAGAGAGAGGGAGACAACAGAATCGAAACAGGTCTGCGTGGCTCTGAGCCATCAGCCCAGAGCCCAACGTGGGGCTCTAACTCAATGGACCGCTGCAGATCACAAGGGTTGAAGTCGGATCAAACCGACTGCACCACCCAGGCGCCCCTATTTTATTTTTTTAAAGTTTACTTTGAGAGTGAGTGGGGGAGGTGCAGAGAGACAGAGGGAGAGAATCACAAGCAGGCTGTGCACTGTTAGCATGGAGCCCGATGTGGGGCTGGAACTCATGAAACGCGAGACCATGACCTGAGCCGAAATCCAAGTTGGACATTTAACTGACTAAGCCATCCAGGTGCCCCAGTCTTAAGTATTTTTAAATCCAAGTTTGGAAAAAGGACTTCTCCTGAGCACCTCTATACTCACTTTTCCATCTTTTTGAAATCTTCTAGATCAGCATTCCAAACATCCTCTCTTAAGCTTTTTAAGATGGCCTATAATCACCGTGAATTCCACTATATGTGGCACCAAGCTCACAGAACCCTTAATAATTTTAGCACACTATCATTAATATAAATTACACATCTCCAACTTCGGCTCAGGTCATGATCTCGTGGTTTGTGGGTTCAAGCCCCACATCAGGCTCTGTGCTGACAGCTCAGAGTCTGGAGCCTGCTTAGGATTGGGTCTTCCTCTCTCTCTGCCCCTTCCCCGCTCACGCTGTCTCTGTCTCTCTCAAAAATAGTTAAAAAACGTTAAAAAAGCACTAAAACTTACAAAAATAAAAATTACACACCTTCTTATGAATACTTAGCTGCAAGTATTCATATCAAACATTGAAAAGTGATTTTGAGGGGTACCTGGCTAGCTCAGTCAGTAGAGCATGTGACTCTTGATCCTGGGGTTGTGAGTTTGAGCCCCATGTTGGGTGGAAAAATTACTTAAAAATAAAATCTTAAAAAAAGGATTTTGATAGAAGCCTGAAGAATGACTGAGTTCAGAGGAGCTTTCCACCTTTCAAAACAACTGAGTATATCATTTTTTAAAAAAGTAATGTATGTGCCCAATGTGGAGCTTGAACTCACAACCTGAAGATGAAGAGTCCCACGCTCCTAAGCCAGCCAGGTGCCTCTGGGTATATCACTTAAGATTTTTTTTTTTCCAATATATGAAGTTTATTGTCAAATTGGTTTCCATACAACACCCAGTGCTCATCCCAAAAGGTGCCCTCCTCAATACCCACCCCCCATCACTTTTAAGATTCTTAATGAGAAGAGGTATAGGTTCCTGAGAGATTCTTTCTGTATCAATAAGATATAAGACTGAGATTATGATTGGTGTGGGATGAGAATATTTTCATCCAAAGGGTCTAAACACCACTTAGTCAATTATATACCCATTTCTTCCAAGTCTAGACACAACCTCAGAATCTTTCTCAGCTTAGAAATTCAGACTTGGTCACTGCCAATTTGCTACTCTCCATATTGAGTTAATTGCTGTAAATCTTTACACTTACATTTAATCCTCTAAAGAATTCCTTAATGGAATCTTCTGTCACGTCATAGGGCAGGTTCCCTAGAAAAGCAGTATAGGGTGGCGATTTTGGAAGACGGCTCCGGTCGATATTGGGTTCCCGAGCAGCCCGTGGAGCAGTGGGCAGGATGGAACGGTCAATTGGAGGTGCCCTATACACGTCATCATCATTACTGTGCCAAGTGGTTGAAACTAGGATAGAAAAGTGGATGTTTAAGAAATCAGAGCAAACTCCCCTCACTGCTGCTGGAGAATAAAAAGATCCATGCTAAGTACCCACTATTAAATAAGCCACACCAGGAAAAAAACAGATAAAAAGGCACTTAAATAAATGCATTTTACACAGAGAAAATGCTTCTGAAATGTCAGTATCAGATTAGCAATGCAAAAAACTCAGTATTCACTGTCTCTTGGTTTCTAGAGACCTTTAAAGACCCAGGCTTTTTATGAACAGAATCATAGTAACTCTTATTCCTTATACAGCAAAGAAAAGTATCAACTATTTATGGAATGTTACTGTGTGCAGGTATTTTATATTCATTATATCCCATCTTATCTTTATAACAACCCTGTGAGGTTGTTCCCATTTTACATTAAAGGAAACTCAGATTTCAGATTTAGTAACGTGCCCAAGATTACAAAGATGGCAGAGTAGTAGATGGTAATCCTAGTATAGGTAGGACTCAAACCAAGGTCCCTCTCATTCCAAACGTATTTAAACATTATTGACAACTCTCATTATTCCTAACTTTTTGGGTGGACAAAGTGTTTTCCTTATGGTTGATCCCCCTCTTTACAAAAAACAACTCAATTCCATCCTATTCCTCAGACCATTTTTGTTTACCCATGCCTTCATAAAAATAGTTCCTAGAACAAATTATTCCTTAACTCTGGGTATAAACAGCTTATAGATTATGCTGTAATAACAGGATATCACACAATTTTAGTAATCTAGTCCCTAACTTTTCCAATGAAAATGAGGATTAAAAGCCTTGAGAAAAGTATGTTAACAAGAGGGAGAACTAGTACTAAGTTCTCCTGAATCACAATTTCAGTCCCTCATCATGAACTCTTATCGCCTAAACCTAAAATTCTATGAAATACACAAACTTAGACCTAAGGTTCTACAAAACGATTAAATTCCTTTCAGATTACATGTGTGAACCATTATTATGGAATGAGTTTTGTCTCAGAAGAGAATGAAAATTTCAAGCATGATGGAAACTAAAAAAATTACCATCTCCTTCCAGGTCGTCTGTTTCATCAGCCCAGCTGACTGGTTTGGGGACATAAGTACTTCCTCCCCCAGTCCCTCCATCCTCAGCCAGAAAGTCTGTTAGGGAGATAGTTTTCCCCTTCTTATTCTTCTTTTTTGCTGTTTTAAAAAAGCAAAAGATTATTTACCATTACTTGGGTATTTAAAAGAGTTGTACAATGCGCTGTGAAAAGAAAGCAACAGGGCGCCTTGGGTGGCTCAGTCGGTTAGACATCGTACTTTGGTTCAGGTCATGATCTTGCAGTTCGTGAGTTCGAGCCCTACATAGAGCTCTGTGTTGACAGCTCAGAGCCTGGAGCCTGCTTTGGGTTCTGGGTCTTCCTCTCTCTCTCTGCCCCTCCCCTGCTTGCACTGTCTCTCTCAAAAATAAACAAAACAACAGCAAAAGATTTTCCACATTAAGACTGGGATGGGGGCAACCTTTTATTTTCTACTATATTCACTCGTGTATCATTTGAAAATTTTAATTTAGTAACCACTTGGGTTTAAGACAGGTAACTACATTTGTAGCTTCTGGTATACAAAGAACTAAAACAAAACTCCTACCCCTAATAACATATTCTGAATGGTATTTATGAGGATTGTTTGATACTTGTAAAATAACCACACAAAGTAGGAATCATTGCTATCAATTTACAAAAAAGAAAACTAAGTCTCAGAGAGGTTACATGACTATCCTACAGTTACAGAGATATTAGATAGCAGAGCTAGAATTAAACCCAGGGTTTTGGATACCAAATCTAGGGCTCTTCCCACAGGAGCCCCAGCCTCTAAGAAGCCTGTTAGTAGTTCTATTGTGTGTGCGTGTGTGTAATGGGGCGGGGGGGGGGGGTATAATTAAGACTATACAAAATTGGATCTCCCTGCCCTCTAGGAAAAAAAATTCTCTCCTTCTTTACCCTAACACCACATTGAAGATGAGATAGGGCACTAAAGGTAAAACATAAGAAGCCCCTAAGACCCAACACATTTGAATGTTCTGTGTTTATGAAATCTTTAGTAATTTCCAAATGGTTCTATTTAGTGGACTAACCTTGGCTCTCTATCTAGTTCTCAGAACCTCTTCTGAGATGGCATCTATCAACAGCTAATGCAGAAGAGCCAAAAGGACTAAATAAAGTTCTAAGACTGGCTCCTGAGAGTAGCCCCTACATACGAAAAAAGCAAGCAGCTTTTGTTGTAACAAAGATGAGTTTCATGGTTTTTATAATCATGAGTTCCTCCTCCATGTTCCAATTCTCATCTAATTTTCAGTCCAAGAAGACTAAAAATTTGTAACATGATGCAACCATTTGTTTAACTGAAGGTTGCTCTCACCCAGCACCTTTCTATAAAATCCAACTTTCAGGAAATAAAGATGACCTGTTTGCTATGAATGTTATGAACAGCCTCTGGACGCACTAAGAAGGGTCCTATAGCATTGATATTGCCCCTAGCTTTATGCAAAAGGCCTAGGAAAAATTTTAACAAGCAAATTTGAACAAGACAGAAAGCATACCTCTGAGGTGGAATGCTTATTTTTGTCTTTTCCATATCCTGTAATTCAAAACAGTGTTGGGGACTAATATGATGCTAGCTAGAGATCCTTGTTACCCTCATGGGGTTTAACCTAGTATCATCAGCTAATACCAAATTATTAATCTGACTGGTCACTGGGGAAATAAAAATAGAACTGATGGTCAGTCCATACAATGAAGTAAAGTTCAACATAAAAATAATTTGGTTAAAGCATCTCTGTCCCCTTTGTTCTGTATGTATATCTAATACCAAAAACAGCAGAAATCTGGAATTAGCCTGTTCTCTGGTCTGATTTTGGCTTATACCAACTTTCTAGATCGTAGTTTCTCAACTTTACCCCTTGACTTTTTTTTTTTTAAACCCGTGACTCTTGACCAACACATCTCATACTCTGCTTTAATGTTACTGGAAATTTCAAAATAAACATCACAACTAAAAATAATTAAAGCACTGTTTATTTCAGAATGTCTTTTTAAATCACGTATCTCTCTTTCCCTTGGGTTCTTTTGCTGTCCCCTCCAAAAAATTCTGGTTGAGAAATCACCAGATTATGGATGGTCTTCATTTAAAGACAGGCTAAAATTCTTTCACAAGATCTGTAATTCATCTTTCTTTAAATCTAGTAGCAGCACTGACTTAGTCAAAATATAAACAGATTTAAAGGAATTAACTGGCCCTTAAGAAGTAAAATCAGTCAACTAAAGTGGGTGCCAATGTTTGTTCCACTATTTTATTCCACTAACTGAGAAACGATGTTATCTAAATCCTCCATGCCCTTTGCTCATCCAATACCTGGGCCCATGACATGTTTAGGATTTCAACAGCATTCTCTGTGTAAGTAAAGCATTGTTTAATGTTCCAGGTTTATCAATCCCTTGCCACATGATTGAACTGGTCCAACTCTTAATTTCCTTTAAATCTGATGTGAATTGGGTTAAAAAGTTAAACCAACCACTTCAAGTAATAGACAATTAAGTGTCCCAATTATTTAAGGCCAAACCTACATGGATTAAGGGAGAAAAACACACATCTCAAAAATGTTATTAAATCCTCTGCCTGCTGACTTAATTACTACTACAATTTACTGAACAAGCACTAGGTACTTTATATACTCATATAGATTAAATAAAAGAGCTTAGAAGAAAGCATTTTCAAAAACGTTTAAGTCTACAAGTCCTTAAACAAGAAACCAAACATTTGTTTCCTTGATAAACAGGGTTTCTTATAATAAATAAACACAACTAGGGATGCCTGGGTGCCTTAGTCGGTCAAGCATCCGACTTCTGATTTTGGATCAGGTCTTGATCTCAGGGTTGTGAGTTCAAGCACCGCACTAGATGGGGAGCCTGCTTAATAAAAAAAATAATACAACTGATCAACTTAACTCTTAGAGTTTCTCAAGTTCTACACCATTGACATTCTAGGCTAGGTGATTCTTTGGGGTGGGGCTGTTCTGTGTACTATAGGATGTTTAACAGCATCTCCAGCCTCTACTCATCAGATGCCAGTACCAAAACCCCCACCCTGCTGTGACAACCAAAAATGCCTTCAGACACTGTCAAATTACCCCTGCGTGGGTGAGACAAAATTGTCTCCTGACTGAGAACCACTGGTTTAAGTGGGTTGTACATCAATAAATAAAAGGACAAACTAAAGGGAATGTTAGCCCCATATAAAAAACAGGATCCCTTGGGGCGCCTGGGTGGCTCAGTCAGTTGGGCGTCCGACTTCGGCTCAGGTCATGATCTCATGATCCGTGAGTTCGAGTCCTGCGTCACGCTCTGTACTGACAGCTCAGAGCCTGGAGTCTGCTTCGGATTCTGTGTCTCCCTCTCTCTCTGCTCCTCCCCTGCTCATGCTGTCTCTGTCTCAAAAATAAATAAAAACATTAAAAAAAAAAAACCCAAACAAACAGGATTCCTTTAGTTTTCTCAGAATGTCTTCCTGCTATCACTCCATTCTTTTACTAAAAATACCAACTCACAGATACTGAAGTGACAAAATTACTGACTAGCTGCTACATCTTTATTTCAAAAGAGGACACCTTAAAGCACTATAAGCAATAAAGCTTATTTGTTATACAATGCAGTCCTACTTCTGCATCTTTAACTCTTATTTCTCATTTAGGAAGGAGAATTCAGAAAGCTCTTAATGTTCAGATAAGGCTCTGTTAAAACTTAAGTTTCTTAATTTTAGATCTTGCCAGACTAAGTCCCACTTATTTTATAGGGTTATCAATTCTGAATGTTAGTAGCTACAGACTAAGAAATCAGAAAGTGTCATAAAAACCTGTACAAGATCACAGCAGCATTATTCATAATAGGCAAAACCTGTAAATAACCCAAACTCGTATCAAACAATGAATGGATAAATAAAATGTAGATGTCCATACAATAGATTTTGCAACAGAAAGGAATGAGTACCCATACATCCACCAATATGGATGGATGCTGGAAATATGCTAAATGAAAGAAGTTAGTAACAGAAGTCCCTGTATTATATGACTTAATTTATATGAAATGTTCAGAATAGTTGTAAATACCAAGAAACAGATGGTGGGAGAAATGACTTCTAATAGGCAAGGCATTTCTTTCTGGGTAGTGAGTCTTGCCAAACCCTCCAAAATTAAAAATGAATTAGTGACTAACAAATGTTTCCTTAAAGAAACAATACTGTACAAATGCAATCAGAACACCTAAACCAGAGTGCCTAGAACTAGACTAATTCCACTGCTGTTTAGAGCCCACCCATGACAAGAGGTTTCATACAATGCAATATCATGATGTTAAGCAGCCTCACCTTTACTGCACTATAGCTGAGCAGAGAATAAAAACCAAGTCAGAACTCATAAGCTTCACCACCTCAACCACCAGTTCTGTTACATGACTCAACTTGCTTCACATGGACACAATCCTAGCAAAATGCCCTATCATCTTCCCCTTACTTTTCCACACTCAATTTGGTCATTTACATAAAATATATAAAGCAAGCACCCAATACGCATCATGCTAACCACTACACAAAGAACTTAGAACCTTTCTGTAAGTGAAGAGCTATAAAAATTCAAATTGACTTTGGTGCGTGCACCAAATTAAGTATACTTACACATAATTCGAAACATGCACTTGTTTTTTAAAAATAATACTCATCAATTCTTTCTCCATCATGAAAAGTGAATGCATTCTAGGATGTTCTGAGACTAATACAAAGTGGCAGAGTAGTCTATCAAGCCACACATATGGTATGTGAGTTATACCTTAAAGCTGTTTCAAGCTTTATATATGTATACATATACATACATGTATTTATATGTATATATATATATTTTTAAAATGACATTAGTTAGAAAGAAACACTATGTATTACTTTGACACTACTTCCTGTTTTTGTCCTTGAATTTTTATGAGTTTTAATCTTGGCCTTCTGAATCTGGGTATCCTACTCCCAGAATAACAAATATATGGTAGAGGATGGGATCTGAAGATAGGTAATACAGGTAGCCCTCACTTTTCAAAAGTTTGCATTATGTCACTTTGCCTTTATGATTTAAACTGTTACCTGTTTTCCCTAACCAAAAGAAATCCAAAGAGGATTTTTGCTCTTACAAAAACAAAACAAACAAACCCAAAAAGCAAAGGGGCACCTGGGTGGCTCAGTTGGTTGAGTGCTCGGGATACGATCTCGCGTTTTGTGAGTTTGAGACCCAGCCTTGCTTTGGGCTCTGTGCTGACAACTCAAGAGCCTGGAACCTGCTTTAGATTCTGTGGCCCCGCCCTCTCTGCCCCTCCCCCTCTTGTGCGTGCACACTCTCTCAACATTAAAAAAAAACAACTTAAAAAACAAAAACCTAAACCTGTTTACAAAAAAAAAAAAGCGAAAATAGCTTTCAGGATTTGTTTTCCAGTGAGCCATTATAGAGGCAGAGCACACTTCCAACTGAGAGTGGCACATCCAAGCTTGTTCCCTCAGAACTATACTCAGCATCAAGCCACCATAGCTTTGAACTGTGTCTGTGATCTGTGCTTTATTTTGTTAGCAAGACATGTCCTAAGGTATCAGTAAACCTTGAGATTATTTTTTGGGTTCAGGAATGCTAAAAAAAAAAAAAAAAATCATTAAAAACTAATGGCAATTGCTTCTTTGCTTTATTTTACTTCAACTTACAAAATGCTCTACTTTTGGGGTATCTGGCTCTTGATTTCAGCTCAGGTCAAGATCCCAGAGTCATAGGATCGAGCCCCGTGTTGGGCTCTGCACTGAGCATGGAGTCTCCTTAGGATTCTCTTCCCTCTGCCCCTTTCCCTCCCAACTCTCTCTCAAATAAAACTAAAACTAAAACAAAACACAAAATGCTCTACTTTACTTTTGGGTAGCAAGGGAAACCTGTATGTGAACAGCATATAATGAAATTATTTTGAACTATAAGGACCAGCACTGTATGAAAAAACTATTGGGACACCATCCTCTCCCCGTGAAAATAAACAAGATGACACACATGGAATTTTTAAGTTAGGTAAATTAAAGGTGTTCTGTGCATACAAGCACGATTTCCAATTTGAAAGCATTTGTCTCAAAAAATGTTAACCTATATCAAACACATTTGATTCCCTGTCAGTAAAGACAGCATTTCAGTAACCTGCTCCTGGGCACTTTCAGTTCTTGAAAATCAATAATGGTTCAAGTGGACACTGGTATTGCTGTGAAGAATTTTTCTGTCTCATTTACAAGAGGACTGTGAACTTTTATTTACTTTTGAGAGAGAGACAAAGCGTGAGCTGGGGAAGGGCAGAAAGAGAGGGGGACACAGAACCTGAGGCAGGCTCTAGGCTCTGAGCTGTGGGCAGAGTCCGATGTGGGGCTGGAACCCAGGAGCTGTGAGATCATGACCTAAAGCGAAGTTGGATGCTTCAACCAAATGAGACACCCAGGTGCCCCAAGAATAGTCTCATTAACACAGCCATATCTGGGAACATTGGCCACTCAACAAAATCAATGACAGGAAAAGTTTCAAAGTTGGAAAAGAAATTTGACAAATCCCAAATTCCTCAAGGGCAGACTGTCAGATGTAACCTTGTTCTCTCAGATACTAGTATAGTGTCCCTTTACGCATACTACAAAGCTAAAAAGATTTACGGAACCAAATTAAAGACAGGAGACGAGGGCTTCAAAGGGGGTAGAGTAAATGTGGAAGAACAGGAGAAGGGGACATCACTAAGCAAATTCCTTTAACCAGTCCAGATTTCACTCAATTCTGTAAAATGAAGGTCACAGATTGCTAATACGTCTTCCAACTCTAAAAGTGCTACAAGTTATGGTGAAAGGGAATATAAGCTTTTCACTAAATTATGACAGCTGCCAAGATGGCAAATTCAGGCCAAGTAAGTACTCTAATTTAGATGAAGTTTTTGGGTAGATCCCCAAAATGTGATGACATAGAAGCCAACCTTGTTACTTCCAAGTTGACAGCAGATAAGAGTCAGGAGTCTCAAAGATTTCAACCTTGCTCTGCTACCTGCAGCCATGTGACCTTGAACAAATAATTTCATTTCTCTCAGCTGGGAGACACCACCATCTGCCTACATTATCTCAGACGATCAAATGAGACAACACAACACAAAAATGCCTGGTCAACTGTCAAGTGCTACGTCAATAAAAGGCATTATGTTCAAATGCACTTCAATTCCCTCAACATATTCCAAAAACACACATAATTCTTAGCCTAGGTTAATAGAGAAGAAATTCTTGGTGAGAAAGGAGTGTCCAGAGATAGCAGGGGTTCGAGCAATGTTTCATACAATATATGATCATGCGGGGGAAAGAAACCATATTATACCCCAAACTAAAATGAATGCTGAAAATGCTCCACACCCCCCAATGCCAATGAGAAAAGCAAGCGAACTTGAAGGACACTGGTATTCCTTACTCCAAACTCGTCCAAAAAGGAAACCTATTCTATCCACTAGTTATCATTTTAAAACTACTCCCCAGGAGTTGTGCAGTTATCTTTAAAACAAATAAATAAAGCTGAACTCTACCGTCGGAGCTATCTAAATAAACCAAAATGGAAGCTGTCAAGGGATCTAACCTTGTTCACCATTTTATCCATCCCCAAGCTAGAACTATGCCTAGCTTATAGTTTGCGGTCAGTAAATACGTACTAAGAAAAAAACCCTAGAGGAAATATAGGTCTCCATCCTTGCTTTTTCTCCTCCAACACGTGGGCGCGCCACACTGGGTTCCCCACCCCCACCTAACTCCAGCGGCTTTAACCTCCAAGCCTTACAGATTTACCCTTAGAAGAATACATGGGCCGGGCCACACTCTAAAAAGGGAACAGCAGAGAGTGGAAGGACATAAGGGAAGGCAACACATGCACGTAAAACCTTCCCATCTGGACTCTCGCGCGTGCTTTTAAGGCGCGCCGGTCGCCGCTACCCTCCTCTCTCTCACCGCGCACGCGCGTCGTCGCCTTCCCCCGCCCCTCCACCGACTCGCGCTCGTGTTCTAACTGCCCCCCCCTCTTTATTCCCCTGCCCCCACTCCCGTCCGCTACGGCCTCGCGCCTCGGAGACGTAGTCTAGGGTGCACCCGTCCGCGCGCCAACCGCCTCCTTCCTTCCTCCACGCGGACACAGTGCTTCACGTCTATGAGAAGGCCTCACGCCTCCCACAGATCTTTCTGCGCCTCATCACTCCAACTCAAGCCATGACTCCCCGCTCCAACCTCGCGCTGACGGGGTGAAAAGAGTGTGAGGGGGGAGGGGAAGGACACGTTCCCCTCCCCCCAAACATCCCGAGGCGATAACCTAACATGGCCAAGCCGCCAGCCTGCCGCAGCCCCAGAGTCCGAAGGAAAGCGGTGCCGCCCGCTCCCCGACTCCAGGGTATCAGTGGATCAGGCTCAGAGAGTAGCTAATGAGCCTGGTCCTTGGCCGCGCTCGGCCGCTCACTCACCTGAGGCCGCCATGTTGGGAGAGGGAGAGAGAACGCAAAGGACCCGGATGAGGCAATCACGTGATTATAGCGGGAGCGTCGGGCTGGGAGACGCGAAACTGGGAGGGGGCGGGGAAGTGAGGAGGGAGACAGGAGGCGGGGCGGTGCTGCTCTAGGTTCGTAAAGCAGCGCGAGGAGGTGGTGCGACGTCCGACGGGAAGACCTTCGCGACATGTGGCCAAAGCCGGGGGGCCTGGGCTGTCGCGAAACCCCTCTCGCTTTACGTAGGACTGCGCGCGAAGGGGCGGGTTTCCCGATCGGCCGACTTCCTGCCAGGCGGGTAAGCGGAAGGGGCGGGGCCCTTGGGCCCAGTTGTCTGGGACCGAATGGAGGCGGGCTGGAACCCGGAATGGGAGTGCCACAATTGACTTTATGAAAGGGGAGATTCTAAGTTTGTTTTCTTTTTATTTTCCACGTGTGAAGACATATGTGGTTAATTTACTGAGCTTTAAAAAAAGTAACTTTCTGGTAAAGCAAAACAAGTCCAATATCTTGCATAAGGATGGTTTTAATTGGGCATGTTTAGAAGAAATAAGAATAACAAATATCGAACATTTAATTACCACGAACTTTTACCTCATTTAGTCTTTCATTTTATGGGCTAGGTTTAGTCAAATCCAGGCGCTATGATTTCACAGCCAAGTGGTATCCGTGCTTTCTCTAGTTAATGCTACGTTTTATTACATATTATTTATATGCTGTATTAGTATTTTATTCAACGAGAATTATCATTGAGCGACTACCTTCTGTCAGGCACTGTTTATTGGCATTTTTTTTTGTCTTTTTTTTTTTTTAAATTTTTTTCAACATTTATTTTTATTTTTGGGACAGAGAGAGACAGAGCATGAACGGGGGAGGGGCAGAGAGAGAGAGGGAGACACAGAATCGGAAACAGGCTCCAGGCTCTGAGCCATCAGCCCAGAGCCCGACGCGGGGCTCGAACTCGCGGACCGCGAGATCGTGACCTGGCTGAAGTCGGACGCTTAACCGACTGCGCCACCCAGGCGCCCCTTGGCATTTTTTGATACAACAGAAAGCACAGCTCCAAAGGATATGAATGGTCCACTGAGGGAAAGACAGACAATAAGCAGTGAATAAATGTTATAAATGATAAGCACCCTGCAGATAATTAAGGTGATTTTATTGAAAGATGATTGGGTGCAACTGAATTTTTAAAATTTTATTGTTATTTTTTAATGTTTATTTTTGATAGAGCATGAGCACGAGAGGAGCAGAGAGGCAGACAGAGGATCTGAAGCAGGCTCTGTGCCCACAGCAATGAGCCCAATGTGGGGCTTGAACTTGACCTGTGAGATCATGACCTGAGTGGGAGTCAGATGCTCAACCAACTGAGCCGTTCAGGCACTCCTGGGTACACCTTTATATTGCCTGGTCAGGAAAGGCCTCTGGGGAATTGACATTTAAACATCTGGATTACAAATAGCCAGCCCTGTGTATGTCTTTAGGAAGAGCTTTAGGAGAAGGTAGAGGATGCACAGCTAGGTCATAAGCTCCAGGGCACGGCCATCTTGGCAAGCTGAGGAATTTAAAGGCTGGGGTCTGAGAGGGGCAGGAGAAGAGTGGTACAAGGTGAAGGTTGAGACAGTGTTAGGGGTTGAATCATGTGAGCCTTTGTAAACGAGGTTTAGGAGTTTGGATCTTATTCCAGGTGGGTTGGGAAAGCATGGAAAGACTGTATGCAAAGGAATGTTATGACTTGAAATGAAATTTTGAAAAGGATTACTTAGTGTCTTGCTGTAGGTGGTAGTTACATGAGTGCATATGTAAGAACTTATCAGAATTATTGATAAAATTACATTTTATGACTGTTGGGGTAATGACCAGTATACTAATATTATACGTTGAAACATTTTTTGAGCTGAACATTTATTTTTTTATTATAATTTTACAATAAAATGTGTTTGAGGGCCCCTAAAAGTACAGTAGAGCCCAGGCACTGTGCCTGCTGTACCTACTGGATAAGTTGACCTGGTTGCTGTAATCCTGGTGACAGAAGTTGGTGCCTTAGATGTGAGTGTGGGGATGGAAAGAGACAGATGCAGATATATTTTGGAATTAGATTTGAGGATTGATTAGATGTGAAGAGCACAGGAGAAGGAACTATCAAATCTGACTTCATGTATTTGGCATGAACACCCGGATGATACCATTTACTTAGGTGGCAAAGCCTGTGGTGGAGCAGGTTTGGAGAGGTGCGTGGGCTCTGTTTTGCCCGTATTAAGTTTGAGATATGTACTCCATACATGTCCAGTACTTCTCATGTTTTGATGAATTTACACATATCATCTGGGGAATTTGTTAAAAGTCAGATTCCAGTTCAGTAGGACTGGGGTAAGCCTGAGATTTTGTATTTCTTCTGGTTCGGATCACTAAAAGGGAATGATATTCAGGAATTATGGAAAAATGCTTTGGCTATTGGGGGTTGTAGATTTCGGAAAGTTCCTAGAAAAGCTAGATGAGGTTGGGACATGGGGGGTAGGGAGAGACTTTTTGTTACCAAGCACCTAATATATCCTAGGGTTATATCAAGCAGTTAACAGGCTAGCTTATTTAGTCCTCACGGTGGCCCTTTAAGGTAAATATTAACCCTGTTTTAATTTTTTTAAGTTTACTTATTTATTTTGGTGGGGGAAGGAGCAGAGAGAGAATCCCAAGCAGGCTCCACACCATCAGCACAGAGCCCGACATGGGGCTCGAACCCACGAACGGGAGATCATGACCTGAGCCTAAACCAAGAGTCAGATACTTACCTGATTGAGCCACCCGGGTGCCCCTTAATCCTGTTTTTAGATAATGACTCTGAAGCTCAGAAACAATGTGTACCTAACCCAAGTACACACAGCCAACAAGTGGCAGAGCTGCAAACCCAGAGCTGTCTCTCAGGTCCACGTTCTTTCCAGTTTCCCAAGGACTTCTTAAAAAATAAAACTGTTAAAAAAAAATAAGTCTATGGCAACCACTTGGTATCATTTGTTCTGAAGAAATCCAGAAGGAATAAACTGTTAATTATCCATTGCTCTATAATGAATTACTCTGAAACTTACTGGCATAAAATGATAAACATTTATTGTCTCAGTTTCTGTGGGTCAGAAATTCATTACCAAAAATCACTTTTTTTGATATCAAAAATGCCAAGTCCTGACATTTGCAGCGTCTCATGTTCGTATCCTCTTTTCCACATTCCTGTTGTTTCCCTTGTCATTTCTCACCCTGACCACTACATTAGTTCTTAATGAGTCTTCTTGACTATAGACATTCCTGCCTCAGTCCATGTGATAAGTAGCTACCAGATTTATTTTCCTAAAGCATTGGTCTGAAAACATTCCCCTGCTGACTACCTTCCATGACTCTATAGCCGAGGCAGACATGCAAGGTTGTATATACTCCAGTCACAAATTCCTGGTTCATACTTACTTCCTATTATCCTTCTTTGTCTAAGGTCATGTTCCAGTCGTGGATACCCAGTGCTTTCCTAATGTTGAGTCTTTTTGCTCTTCTCTCTGCCTGGAATACTCTTTCCTCTTTCACTACCAAATGGGTCACCAATAAAATCTATCCTTTAAGGGCTCTTCAAATGTCACCTTTTCTAGGAAGCCTTTCCTGAGCCTTTCTCAGAACCCCACCAGGACTGTCTGCACCTTCCTTTTGACACTTGTCACCTTCCGTCTTGAACTGCCTTCTCTCCTGGTCTATCAACTCCTCCAGGTTGCATCCATTTTGATTATCTTTGCGATTTTCATGCATTAGCATCTGGAACACTTTTTTTTTTTTCAATGTTTATTTATTTTTGGGACAGAGAGAGACAGAGCATGAACGGGGGAGGGTCAGAGAGAGAGGGAGACACAGAATCGGAAACAGGCTCCAGGCTCTGAGCTGTCAGCACAGAGCCCGACGCGGGGCTCGAACTCACAGACAGCAAGATCATGACCTGAGTTGAAATCAGATGCTTAACCGACTGAGCCACCCAGGCGCCCCTCTGGAACACTCTTGGTGCTCAGTATGTATTTGCTGGTGCTAAAGTCAGATTTTCAAGAAATTTACATTCATTCAGGAGATTTCAAGAAGTTCTCATAATGCATATTATGCACTTATATGCCTGGATATATTTATTGTTCATTGAACTGGAAAACATAGCCCTTAAAAGCAGTGGCTTCTTCCACAGGAAAAAAGCAAAAAAGATTTCTCCCTTTAGACTGACTAGTCAAAACTGAAAAATGTTTGGAAACTAAGTTAAAAGTAAAACAAACAAGCAAATGCATGTAAGTTTATATTTGTTTTCTGGAGTCTGAATTCACTAAACTAATTGGCTTAATTTAGTATTTGAGGTTCTTATGATTGTCCTTACAATTGTCATTGAAATGGTCTACTTTTTTTTTTTTTGGAAAACTACCCTTTTCCTAATATATATATTTATAAATAATTATATATAGAAGCTTGACCTTTTAAAAATCTCAGTTACACTAATAAGCTTTAGTTAAAGCATTCCCTTTGTCTTCTCCAAGCCTTAGTTTTTTAATCTGTAAAACAAAGGCATTAAATTAGATGGTTTCAAAGATTTTTTTTTTTAATTTTGTCATTTTATGAATCTGTGATGCTGATTGTGGATATTATGATCTTCCTCCTAGGGAAGCTGGCAAAAACATTCCTCAGATAACCAGGACTAAGCCAATCCATTAATAATGGAATATGGTTCATATACCAGTTACTTTTGTTAAGCTTGGGTAGCTGAAATAATCAAATTATCGTTGTTTGCCGCTTTATGTCCTCACAATCTAAGCAAAATATATCAGTGCTTTAAAGATATGTATTTCTCCAAAATAAAAGTTTTTATCCCTGAGTGTTGACTGTGTCAGGTTCGCTTTATTTTTTAAATCTTTATTTTTGAGAGAGAGAGAGACAGAGTGTGAGCAGGGGAGGAACAGAGAGAGAAGGAGACACAGAATCCGAAGCAGGCTCCAGGCTGTCAGCACAGAGC